CCGGCTGGCGAGCTCTGGCTGCCGGGAATCTAGGGGCCGGCCCGGCACAGCCGAGGGCACGGCGGAGCGCTCGCCTTTGCCCGCCTGCCTCTCCGCTTTCTCCCTCAGCCTTCATCCTTTCTTTCCCTGGCTGCATCACAAAAGCGCGGCGCCGAATGAAACTCGAAGCGGTGAAGCCTGGCTTCCTCTCACCTGGTGCGCATCGCCCTCGGGCGAGAGTGGAGTGGGGTTCCCCAAGATTGGGGACTCGGTCTTACCCAGGAGCGCGCTTGTGTTCGGCTCTGGCGAATTCCAGAGAGGTGCTGGATTGCGCGAGCGGTTGCAACATGTTCACGCTGGTGTGTGTGTGTGTGTGTGTGTGTGTGTGTGTCCGCGCAGGCGCACCCCAGGGCTCTCGTGCGTGCGGTGACAATGTGCCAGAAGCTCTTTGTTTGCTTGTGGCTTCCCCAGCCCATCTGCAAAGCAAATTGATTTTCAGTTTCGCTTGCAACTTAGTGTGGGCCACAACCTCGGATGCCCCTGGTATTTGTAACTGAATATTTCTTTCGGGCAGGGGGCTATTTTTAGTGCTGGGAATAAAGAGGCAAGCACGTTGACCTTTGTGCTGCTGCCTTTGGCTCTGAATAGGTGTCGGATCGAGCAGACAGATGTCCATCTAGTCGCGAACACGTGCTAGCCCTCAAGGGTGTACACACGTTTCTGCACCGTAGTTTTTTTTTTCTTTTTTAAAAAACTGCGAATCGTATGTTTGTAAAAAAAAACTTTCCTTTGTTCTTTTGGGCATTTTCTATTTTGGGTGATGGAGTAGGAGGAGAAAAGGTTGCAATTAGTTCACTGGAATAAAAGACAGCCTCTGAGTCAGAGCTGTCAGGTTGATAATTATTAACTTATAAAAGCAAATGTGCGGTTTAAGGCAAAAGGGGCGGGGCGAGGGCAGGTCCGCGGCAGACAATGGGGAACGTCTCGGGGACCGCCCGCTGCTTATTGTTCCGGGACTTGAGACCGCAG